AGAGCTGTCCAGTTTATCCAAATCTCAATCTCTCAGTTCCAACAACAACAAGAGTTAACAGTTGACGACATTGAGGATTTTGATGACGATGATGATCTAGATGAAGTTGACAGTCGAAGGTATTCAAGAAGAGTTCTCGATGATGCTGTTGATCTTGTGCTTGGATTGTCGTCATTTGCTACTGGTAAGCATGCTTATTATAGGTGTATATGTGTATGGTGGACCTGTAACTTCTGCTATCATAAGTTTGACCATTTCATTTTGGCACTATTAGGTTGTAATTTGTTTGCTTTTTAGCTCTAAGGTGTTATATATATATAGAGTACTGGTTATACAAGAAAAATAAAAGATAGGGAGATTAATGGTTACCATTTTAAAAAAAAGACTGAGAGAGTAAAAGTACTTCGAGATTTTTCTCTGGTTCTATATTTGTACTACTGGTTACTTTCTGCTTAGGATGCTGACACATGACTAGGAAACTATTAGCAACATTGATGCAAATGTATCGTATAATTGTTCTAGTTTCTGTGCAATTTTCACTCAATGATAAATGGATTTTTTTTAATAAGGGAATTCAACCACTATACTATCAAGAGTTGTATACTAAATGATAAATAGATTTCAATTCTCATCCATGTTAATTGCAGTTCGAGCAATGCACCAAGGCCGTGAACATAACATACTTCTATAGTAACTTGATATTGGGAGAATGTCTCTTTTTATTAGGAGCATAAGAATCCACCTTAATCTCCAGGATACTTGTGCGATTTTTGAATTTTCCAACTTCTTCCGGCCGATAGGCATTATTTAATTTTTTAAAATTGTAATCCTATATGTTTTTTCTTTTCTTTTTGTAGATTAGAAAGAGTTAGCACTATCTTGATGCTTGTTTAATGTTTTTCTGACCTTTGACTATCATAAACAAAACTAGTTGTCAGATTATTAATTCTCAGATATTCTGATGCAACTCTCTTTAGTGCTTAAATTTTTATTTTATTTTGTTATAGCTCTTTGTTATTTTCTCCTCTATTCACTATTCACTTGATTATGTTTATAAAAAGAAAAACTTAGATAGTTATATAAGTTTTATTCCTGATCTTTAACGACCCTTATTCTTTCATTTGTTGCTTTTTAAGCATAAAGAGTTCCCACTAATGTTTTCTTCAACGAACATTCAAGTATTTCTTACTCTTCTCTGATGACTTCTCTCGTACTTAGTAGCAATAGTATTCAATTTGTTATGAAGCTTATTCCATCTTTCATAAACCCCAATCAAATGATAGGTTAAGTTTTGTGCTTGTGCACAAAAATCAGTGATACGTTGATGTCATTTGATCCTCACTAATTTCTGGCACCTCCTTGGTTTTTGAAGTCTGTTTGGGGAATATATCAATAAATGTTAAATGTGAACTTGAACGAAGTGAGGTCATCATATCTATTTAACTAGTTTATTTTACCTCTACTTTGTAAACAACCTATGATGGGGTGCCAGAGTTTATTTTGGAACTTCATATTAAATACATACTTCTTTTTGCGTTTTGATGTTTGAAATCTTTGGTTTTATACAATGTTTGAAGCCTTGAATACATGTGTTGGCACGTAATAGGCACTTCCAGATTGATATTGATTACTGGAGCAAGTATTTGATGAGCAAACAGCTTAATGTAATATTATATTCCAGTATTTCCTGGTCGGTTACACTACTTCACTATCACTTGTAGATTCCAATATCTTTTTTCAAAATGTATTCTTTTCTTGCTTTTACATGAATGGATGGGAGATACCTATACTTCAGGTTGTATTTATTCCTAGCTATTGGCGATGATGATCTCCGTGAAACAACATATGAGATCCTTCTGGCTACTATTGGAGCTTCAAGGTATTTCCGCCTTTTCTGTTTCTTGGCTTGCAACATCTCCCATCCGATTAATTAAACACATTTAATATGCATTCTGTATGCACATGGGCTTCATTGTACCATCAAAGGACAAAAAGAAGGAGAAGAAATTTAGATTAATAAGGAAGTTGGGCCATAGTAAGAGTGAAAATGTAATGACCTAGTCACATAATTTATTTGGACTGGTCAGTTTGTTGGAGACAATGCGTGTCCAGATGGAGGTAGGAAAATGAATGACCTTGTTACGTTCTGTCAGATGTCAGATTGCTTCTAGCTTCTGTTGTTCGATTCACACCAGTAATGGGATAGATATCTTATTAGTTTCTTGCCCTTAACTCAACAAGTTGGGATAGCTTACCTGTTGTTTCATTGCAAATCATGGACTTTAGGACAAGACTTGGTCTCCTTAATGCGATGGTTGGAAAAGTGGGTAAAAAGGATGGATACAATCTTGATCCCACTGGAATTGTTATGTTGTATTTCACACACCGAGTTTTCCGATAAAAAGTCATATATTAAGTGACAAAAGAGACAAGTGCGTGCTGTCTTTCCCACTTAATATGATGATTCAATTTTTTCCTCCCCTCCTCTTTGTAATTGCTGTAACAAGCTTTGCAAAGTTGTTTATTTATGAAACTAAATTCATATGATAATGTATTTAGCATTTCTGTTGCATATTTTTTTTCTGTCAGTTCACTTAAACATGTTGGAGGAGGGACTCATAAATCATCATGTTGTAGGGTTTGGGGAATCTGAGGTGTGTACATTTCTCTCTGTCCCACTTTTGCTGAAGAGAAATTTCTGATTTATTACTAATACTTAAGTATTTGCAATTCTAGTTTGGTCATGCATCCTTGCAAATAGCCAAATACTGAACTTTATAATATTTTAACTTCTTTGAAAATAGTGAAATGCAATATTCACATTTAAAGCAATGGTCTGATTGCATATTTCAAGAAAATACTGGTTTCTACTCATTAATCTTCAACTTCACAATTTTTTCCAAGTTGAACTTCAGTACTCTTTTATTCAGCTTCAACTCGGAGTGGTGGGCTTAGGATTTGAAGGCAGTGGGTGCACATTCTTTAACATACACCGCATCTCCAACTTTGAGTAACATTATGCATTCAGTTGGTTTAGTTAGTTTCTAATTGAATTTTTAGTTCATAAACAAAGAAACCATTCAAACCGAAATGACTTGGGTTAATTGCATTTTTATGCTTCAGCTTTAATTAAGTTTAGGGATCTCTTTTATTTACCGATAATATAAAAGGAAGAGCTTGGAAACACGTGTCCCTCTATCATCTATACAAACAACAACAGAAAGCACGTGGTCCCTCTATCATCTATACAAACAACGAACTAACAACATTATAATTTAATCGATCATTCTTTTCAGTAAGGGAATTGCAAATTGAATCATGATTTACCAATTTGCTTAATGGTCGATGCAATGACTGTAAATTTGTGGTAATCCTAGTTGGATTTCATTTTATTAATTTTATTGCCGAAAATAAGTAGGTCAAATATTAAATAGATGGATTAAAACTGCAAATGCACTTCTTTCAAACAAATTAAATACATTTTGATTTACTTGAATGTTCTGTTTTGAAGTTTGATCATCATATGTCTAATCATAGGATTGCTTAGAATTAAAGTTAGAGTTGCTAAGAGGGTTTTCATCTTTGAGATTGGAGGTGTTGACACCCAATTTTGACCCTCCACAATGTATATTAATCATCGAGCTTTTTCAATTTCAAACGATTTGAAATAATTAATTTTACAAAAATTCAAAATATTTTCAAGTTATTTCTAAGGTAATCTTGTCATTTTTAATAATTTTAAATAAAAATATGTATATTTTTACAATTATGTATATAATTATGTCATTTTATGAATATTCAAAAATCATCTCAAAAAAATTTATTTTTAGTTAAATAATTTATTGAATTAGTTTAGTTTTAAATTATGGTTATAATTTTGAGTCATTTAAGTTTAATTGAGTTTATTATTTTATTTCGTCGAAATTAAGAAGCTCATTAGTTGATTATATTAATTCGTCTTATTTAAATTTTAGCCAAATTCACTAGTCAAACTCAATTTGGTTAAGTTTTAAGTTAAGTTGGCTAATTTTGCAATTAATTTGGCTGAGTCTTAAATTCAAATCTGGTCTTTTCGTTACCTTACATTGAAGGGAAAATTACGCGGTTAAGCAAACTTATACTACTTAATTACTCATCATAGCTATAGTTTGCTATAATTACCACTCACGACTAACATTATACATTAATTACGCGGACTGACTTCGAGTTTGTATAATTAGCCACGTTTGTATATGTATAATTCGCCAGAATATACAAATACATATGTATAATATACAATTATCTAACCGATATACATATACAATTCACCTCTCTCCCACTCTCTGCCCTCTCTCGCTTGCCTCTCTCCTCCCTCTCCC